AAAGACCGCTCACTGCCGCTCTCTCCCCTTCTGCAGGGTGACTGGTCTTGTCCCCGCCCCCCGTGTAATAAAGACCGCTCACTGCCGCTCTCTCCCCTTGTACAGGGTGACTGGTCTTGTCTCCGCCCTCTCCTGTAATAAAGACCGGTCACTGCTGCCCTCTCTCCTTGTGCTGGGTGACTGGTCTTGCCTCCGCCCCCTCCTGTAATACAGGCCACTCACTGCTGCTCTCTCTCCTTGGGCAGGGTCAGTGGTCTTGTCTCCGCCCTCTCCTGTAATAAAGACCGGTCACTGCTGCCCTCTCTCCTTGTGCTGGGTGACTGGTCTTGCCTCCGCCCCCTCCTGTAATACAGGCCACTCACTGCTGCTCTCTCTCCTTGGGCAGGGTCAGTGGTCTTGTCTCCGCCCTCTCCTGTAATAAAGACCGGTCACTGCTGCCCTCTCTCCTTGTGCTGGGTGACTGGTCTTGCCTCCGCCCCCTCCTGTAATACAGGCCACTCACTGCTGCTCTCTCTCCTTGGGCAGGGTCAGTGGTCTTGTCTCCGCCCTCTCCTGTAATAAAGACCGGTCACTGCTGCCCTCTCTCCTTGTGCTGGGTGACTGGTCTTGCCTCCGCCCCCTCCTGTAATACAGGCCACTCACTGCTGCTCTCTCTCCTTGGGCAGGGTCAGTGGTCTTGTCTCCGCCCTCTCCTGTAATAAAGACCGGTCACTGCTGCCCTCTCTCCTTGTGCTGGGTGACTGGTCTTGCCTCCGCCCCCTCCTGTAATACAGGCCACTCACTGCTGCTCTCTCTCCTTGGGCAGGGTCAGTGGTCTTGTCTCCGCCCTCTCCTGTAATAAAGACCGGTCACTGCTGCCCTCTCTCCTTGTGCTGGGTGACTGGTCTTGCCTCCGCCCCCTCCTGTAATACAGGCCACTCACTGCTGCTCTCTCTCCTTGGGCAGGGTCAGTGGTCTTGTCTCCGCCCTCTCCTGTAATAAAGACCGGTCACTGCTGCCCTCTCTCCTTGTGCTGGGTGACTGGTCTTGCCTCCGCCCCCTCCTGTAATACAGGCCACTCACTGCTGCTCTCTCTCCTTGGGCAGGGTCAGTGGTCTTGTCTCCGCCCTCTCCTGTAATAAAGACCGGTCACTGCTGCCCTCTCTCCTTGTGCTGGGTGACTGGTCTTGCCTCCGCCCCCTCCTGTAATACAGGCCACTCACTGCTGCTCTCTCTCCTTGGGCAGGGTCAGTGGTCTTGTCTCCGCCCTCTCCTGTAATAAAGACCGGTCACTGCTGCCCTCTCTCCTTGTGCTGGGTGACTGGTCTTGCCTCCGCCCCCTCCTGTAATACAGGCCACTCACTGCTGCTCTCTCTCCTTGGGCAGGGTCAGTGGTCTTGTCTCCGCCCTCTCCTGTAATAAAGACCGGTCACTGCTGCCCTCTCTCCTTGTGCTGGGTGACTGGTCTTGCCTCCGCCCCCTCCTGTAATAAAGACCGGTCACTGCTCCTCTCTCTCCTTGTGCAGGGTGACTGGTCTCTCAGCCCTCTCCTGTAGTGGGTGGGGCCTGCTAGGCTCCATATCAGGCGGGACATTATACTGTATACGGATGATCTATAAATCGCCTGCTGACCGCTCGCTGCCCACACAGCCTTCCCACCACTAGATGGCGCCAAGGAGCGCAGGGAATTCTTCTTATGCTCTCCGGCGCCCCCCAGTGGTGAGAGTTCTGAGTGAATGGCCCCGGCCGGATCAGTCTTGGCAGATAATTTATAACTCATCTCATTGGTGGAGGGGCGAGTGACGATATCATCTCACAGCCAAAGCTGCTCCGGAAACTCATCTGCCTTCATCATGTGACCTGTGGGGGGGAGGGGGGGGGGGCAATTCCAGAGCTATGGGGCATCTGAAGAGACCAGGGCAGAAAAGACACTCGTCACTCCATAACACACCAACATGTTCGCCTGCAGAAAGTTCTGTTTCTGTGTAAAATCCCCCAGAAGCCGATTGACATGCCATGGGTTGGCCGGCACAATGTATCCTTTATAGCAGGGGTGGGCAACCCAGCTGTAATAGAACTACAAATCCCATCACCCCCT